ATAGGAAAACTACAAAAACAGTAATTAACACCTACTTATAGTGAAGTGAAAATAGTAGCAAAAGAAAATAATTGTAAGTAACAACAAATAATGTTAAGCAACAACATATTATTTATCTACTATTGCCTAATCTTGCATTGGCATGTTTCACAGTTTGCACATCCCATAATATGCAACATAAGAGATGGGACATTCTGCCAGTCAGGTTGTGCTTATGCTATATTTGTCTTAGAAAAACATGTTGTCCAGATAGTTGTCCACATTGACTACTGTATGGCAATTTGAAGCATAAACTAGTAGGTAAAACAGACCTGTGTTCTTATTTAAGATTTACTGTTTCCTCTTCCTGTTCCTGAGGTATGCCAATTTTCTACAAACCCAACACAGCTATAATAATAATAATTAATAATTATTTTTATTTATCTCCCGCCCCGATTGCTCTGCAGAGCAATCGGGGCGGCTTACAATATTACAATTTCCATTAAACAAAACATAAAATCCCAAATCCCACCCATCCTTTAAGAAATAAGAGTTCTTCTTATTTTAGACTGGGTGGTGCTGGGCTTAGTGTCTCTCCCCCAGATGACATCAGATGGTAATGGAGGGAGGGATCTTCTTCTTATTTTAGGCCAAGACTAAGACTCCACTCTTCCCTTTTGAAAATGTGGTTGCGTTAGCATCCTTTCAAATGACTAAATTACTACGTGTGCATGTGCCTTCAAGTCACCCATGACTTATGGTAGCCCCATGAATTTCACCAAAAATAAACCATTGGATTTGATTCAGTATAACTCAATCAGTTAAATCACATGGCATCAGAGTCCAGTTGATACCGTGTTTTAGTGGATTTTTTTTTCTAAATCTGCAGCAGGTTTTGCAATAACACAGTTTAAAAGCAGGTTGAAGGGTGCTTTTGCTTATAACATTTGTATAAACTATCTTGGCCAGGTAGGAAAATTGTGTGTTGTGTGAAAATAGTTCCTTGGTATGCTAGAATCTTATCACAGCACAGAATTGCCTAATGGTTTATTTATCAAAAATATTCTAGCCAGATCCCATCAGCTCTGGTTAGTACTTGAATGAGAGATAGCCAACAAATACCAGATAGACTGTTTTTCAGAGGAAGGAACTGGCAAAACCACCTTTGCATATTCCTTACCTAAGAAATTGCTGTGAAATTCATGGGGTTCCCATAAGTTGACAGGTGACTTGAAGGCACATGCTTGCACACAATTTGCAACAGTAGACAAACTGAAGACCTTGCTTATTACTAGTTGTTCCACGGCTACAAGTGTTTGGAATAAATATCCCACCAGCTGATAAAAGGTCATGGCAATTGGTTAAATCTACAAAAACAGGGTTTTGTTTTAAAAAATGAAAACAAGTAGGTTACATACAGTGATGTACTTTTGCCTTGGCATTGGATAAAGAATAAAGTGTAAGGTTTATATGTTTGTCCCTTGAATCCGCATAATGATACTTGATACTGGTTCTTCTACAACGGGAATAATTCCTGCAACTACAGTTGTTCCCCCCTTTTTGCGGACCTGAAATCTGCAGTCTTGATCTTCATGGGAGGGACAAGCACTTGTTGTTATAATGGCACTGTGCGCCCGCGCGTTGCCATGCACACCCACCATGGGCATGCACCCCATTATTTCCTGTGGGATTCGAATATGTGCGACTCACCATTTTCGTGAGGGGGTGAGTGGAATGGATCCCCCGTGAATTAGGAGGGGCTACTGTATTTGTTCTGTTGCCTGTTAACTGCAGCTATGCCTGCATTTGCTTGTAGGTTCAGTTAGGGCCTGTGATGGAAGCAAAGGTCAGTGTGGTTCTTTCCCTTGCATCTTGGGAACACAAAACCGGGCTAGACAGGATGGGGGACATGTCTTCTGATAGTGTTTCTCCCCCCCCCTCTCTTTAATGCTTTAGAGTTTTCTGGATGTGATCAGAGTTATGGTGTGGAGGGGGATGAAGGTGGAAGGGTTGCTTAATACTTTCACAGCAGGCCAGCTTTCTATTTTGGAAGAAATACCTTTGTGAAGAGGAGGCAGTTTTTATTGGGAAAAGTTTAATTGTCCTCCTTCCACTGCTCCTGTCATCAAATATGGCACCTACTGCAGCTGTATTAAAGTTGAAACAAAACTTGTTGGGTAATAGTTTTGTTTTGGTTTTTAAGCATTTTTATACACTTCTGTTTAGCCACAAAGGCTCTCAGAGTGGTTTACAAATTACTAATTTGACAGTTCCCTGTCCTCAGGCTTACAGTTGCATTACAACTTTGTAATGACAACAAGTGCCAATGTAGACACTTGTATGAGTCAAGTCTTACCCCTGCAAACCTATAAGCTAGTAACCACTATCCAAGCCACGTTGCTACTGACAAATATTGTCCTTTTCTGCTGTTGAGATAAGTTTCAAATGTCATCATATGGTGGTTGCCCTGGAGGTTAAATATACCTGATTTTCTGCTCCATATAATTTGCTGTGATGTTAGTACTATGGTGTGCACAATGAAGGTGCTTCTATTTGATTTGGGGCAATTTCCCTCTTTTTCCTGGCCTAATTACCCTAAAGGCACCAGATCCTATCTGATCTTGGAATCTAATCAGGGTCAGCCCTGGTTAATATTTGGATGGGAGACCAGGTGCTCTAGGCCAGGGGTAGGCAACCTTTCCCCTTTAAGGGCCGAGGGACTTCAGCTCCCAGAATCCCAGGAGCTATTGGCCAACATGGGACTATTGGCCAACATGGCTGAGGCTTCTGGGAGCTGAAGTCCCTCGGCCCTTAAAGGGGAAAGGTTGCCTACCCCTGCTCTAGGCTATATTTCAGAGGAGGGAACTGACGAAGCCACCTTTGGGAGTTCCTTGCCTGAGAAAACTATGAAATTCAAGAGGTCACCATAAATTAACAGGCAACTTGAAGGTGTGCACACACATACACACATACTTTCTCCACTCCTCTCCACCCCAAATGCTAACCCTTTACTAAGTGTCCTCAGTTCTTCAAAAAGACTTTTAAAAGTATTACAGTGTAGACTGTGGAGGGCTAGGAGTTCCTTTGTGCAACATCAGAAACAACAAATTCTTAAACATCTTCATTTTTATTACAGAATTCTTTCCAATAGTGATCAATGTTACAAGGGCCATTCAATAATTTAATTGCATGTTCCAGTGATTTTACCCAGTTTAATCCAGGCAAATTTCTGTTTCTGAGATATGACTTCATGTTGCTCTATGGAAAGAATACATTTTTCAATATGTATTCACAAAGTTCTTTCATCTCTCAGGTCCTATACAAAGCCCATTGATGAATTCATCACACTTAGCAGATGGACAGGGATATAATTCTGCAGTCTCAAGCATGTATACACAGCAAATGGCAACAAAGAATCCTCTGCAGACATCCTCTGGACTGTATAATTATGGAGCACTTCAGAATATTCCACCTTTTAGTAATTATCAAGGACCTGGCCAGACTCTTAATAAAACACCTCTTGGACCTGCTTCTATGGCAGCAGCACAGTCAGGACCTGTTGCCCAGATTCCTCCTGTTCTGCAGAACTCAGCTGCTACGTCAACCTCTGCTGGTAGTTTTCATTCTGGAGTGAATCTCCCAGCACATCCACACTGGCAATATGGGCAAACTCCTTCAAATCAACTGACTGTGCTCTCTCAAGCAAACCATTTTGCTTACACAGCAGCAACCCAGCCATTGTTATCATCATCAGGGAATACAAATATACCAACAAGTTATCATTCTGTTTCTTCATCTGGGGGCCCTCCAATTCAGAACAGCTATACAAAGCCAGGTAAGAAAAGTAACTCTTCTGCTTTACTTTATTCTCCCCCTCCCCTTTTTTTTGCGTCATGAAGAATCCTGATAAAAACTCTTCCCTTAATTACATGAGCTCAGCCCTTTAGAATTGTCATGTACATAACAGTAAGTTTTGAAAGTATCACAGTAAAGGTTTTTGTGCATGCTATATATTCTGATCTTTTGGGATTTGTTACAGAACATGGGAAAGACATCAACTAAAAAAAATTGGGAAAAATATTAAGTCAGTGTCAAGTAAACTGTGATTTAATAAAGTAGAGATTGATTTAAACAATTCAGCTAATTGTTTGTACTTGGCTTGTAGTGTGGCCTTCACCACCCTAGTGTCTCTAAATGTCTCGGACTATTTCTCCAGTTGTCCTCCAACTGGAGTTTATTTTAACCATAATTTCCATTTGTCGCATAACAAAAGCAGAGTGGAACTGAATGCTGTTTTAGTTCTGTCCATTTGAGAGAAGGGGAATAGAGCATACAGGCTTGAGGCTTTGCTTGAGTTTCAGGACTGTCATTGTTACAGGTGGCCATTGTCATCTTTTAGTAGAAGTACCTGTATCGTATTGCTCCTCTTGACACTGACTTACGGTTTAGTGAGTGAATTGGTAGGTAAGTATCATATAGCCAACTGTGCAGCATGGATGAGTAAAGCATTTCTCACACATTACTTAGGTAGATTGACAGCATTTACAGACTGCCAGAAATAGTGAAGCTTGAGACCACTTTAACTGTCTTGGCTCAATGCTAGGGAATCATGGGAATTGTAGTTTTTTCTGAGACATTGAGCCTTCTTTGTAAGGGAGCTCTGGTGCCACAATAAACTACAGTTCCCATGATTCCCTAGCACTGAGCCAGGACAGTTAAAGTGGTCTCAAGCTGCATCAGGCATCAAAATATACCCTGACAAGTATTTCTTAGGGCTTAAGCAGACTGCCAGAAATAGTGCACATTAAATTGAGGCAGTACCCTGGCTCAGTGCTAGAGAATCATGGGAATTATATTTTTTTCTGAGACATTGAGCCTTCTCTGTCAGAGAGCTCTGGTGCCACAATAAATTACAGTTCCCATGATTCCCTAGCACTGAGCCAGGGCAGTGCCTCAATTTAATGTGCACTATTTCTGGCAGTCTGCTTAGGCCCTTAGTTTCTCTCCCTTAATAAATAGGAGCCAGCATGGCATAGTGGTTTGAGCGTTAGGCTGTGACTTTAAATACCAGGGTTCAAATCCCCACTTGACCATGGAAACCCACTGGCTGACTTTGGGGAAATCTCACATACTCAAATGCAGAAACCCCCCATGATTTGTTTGCCTTAGGGTCACCATAAGTCAGAAATCAGTTGAGGGCACACAACAACAACAGCCACTGCTCCCTTAAATAGGAACATACTTTAGCTACTCATCAGCCTTTACTAACTTATTAAAATGTCCTCCTGGTGATGCACACTTGAGACAATGCACACTTGAGGGAATGAAGTCTCAAGACTTACTTGTCTCTACTACAGATAAGTGCATTATCTGTTGTTGCTATTGGTAGAAAAAGTGGGGAGGGAATAGAAATATTTTATTCCTGCTACAGCATAGTGTATTTATGTCCAGTCACATTAAAAGTGGGGCTTATCAAATGGATGGGGTTACCCCATGTATACTGCTGTACAAAATGAGGTGGTTGTGTTTGTATGGAGCAAAACTAATTGTGCCACACTTCACGACTTAAGTAGCCTAATGTATGTTTATTGCTAAATGAAAGTACTGCAGAATGAATGAGTTACAGGTGGATTTGCCATCGATCTGATCCAGTAACTGTATGGTCCATATATAATCCCAGGCCATTATGTTTAATGAAGAGTTATGTGAAATGAAAGTGCTTCATGTTTCTATACTAACCTTAGTTCAACCTTTAAAAGACAGTTTACCATTTTTTGTTTTTTCCTATTTAGTTTTCAAATTAGGAATAAGGATTTTCCCTGTGATGTCAAAATCTAATATGTAGTGAAGAGAAGAGGTACAAAGGACTTTGGTGTTAATATGCAGATGATACTGAATAATTAAGAAGGCTTGATTAAGTACCTCATGCAAGAATATGCATGAAACTAAAAATTAATATGTATTAAACATTTGTTTCTGTGCCAAAATAAAAACAATTGTACTTAAACCGCTTGTTCTCACAGCTCCTGTTCCTCTGCCTGTCAATCAGCTAGCATACTCGCCAGTTAGACCTCCTTTAGGGCCCCCTACCGTTGGAAGTCCAGCTTTTATACAGTCTTCAGCTCCCTCAACAGCTCCACCAGCAAGTGTTGCGTCCCAAAACTCAGCAAGTCCCCAAGAAGGTAAGGCAGTGGTCTGTTTAGGAAAGTCACATGGTACAAGTTAGAAATGCACTAAATACAATAACTGGGACAATAAAACTATTTAAATTCAGATAAAGTTATTGACAGAGGTGATAACAGTATTGGGCTTGCTAAGTAAATTAACACTTGTAGTTCAAACTATGCATTGTGTTTAGAACCCAAATGAATAGAATTAAGCTTACATTTTGTAATTCAGCTGTTTTCTAATTCGGCTATATTGCTATTTTGCAGGGAAAAATTCCCCTCTTCAGGTTAGGAGGACAGTGGTCTGGGAAATCAAATTTTCCCCCACTTGGATTCTGGAAGTTGCCATTAGTATTCATAGGGATATTTACCGTATATACTCTTGTATAAGGGGGTGGAACACAAAAAATTCTACTCAGAAAAAACCTGGATCAACATATACACAGAAATGTGCTGAAATAGGGACCCACTGCAAAGGCAATGACAGGAGGCAGAGGAGAAAAACCGCTCTTGGTGTGACAGGGCATGAAAAAGTGCTCCTGCCTCATTATTCTTCCCTTTCTCAAACTGGAGAAAGAAGGGCAGCCTGCCCTCTATCCCTCTTCCCCTTCTTTTTCAGTTTGAGCGACATTCAGTAGCAGTGTGGGGGCACCCAGAGAATAAGGTGTGTCTTCCATTTTGGGTGCTTGTGGTGAGCAGAGCAATGGCAGCCCTTTTAATAGGGACTTACTGTTTAAACCTCAAGAGACTAGGCAATTTCTCTGCAGAGAGGCTTGTACAATAAGCCCGTATTAAAAATAGCTGCTGCCACTTTGCTCCACCTCAAGCACTCAAAATGGTGGGTTGCCCGCATAGCTGCTGAACGCTGCTTGGGCCAAAAAAGTAGATGGGGAAAGAGGAAACACTGCCTTTCTTTCTCTGGTTTGAGCAAGGGAGGGCTAATGGTATGGGAGCACTACTTTCATACCAAGAGCAGCTTCTCACCTCTGTTTCTTGTCATTGCCTTTGCACTAATAGATGCTCTTCTCTCCTCCCTCCTTTTTTCAGGCCTCATTTTCATTGCTTTTCCTCATTTATATTCTTTTCCCTCTCTGTATTTGTATAGAATAGGCGTTTTAAGATCAGCAATGCCATTTACCATCACCCCCATTGTAACCCTTTGTAAAGGTTCCTCACCTTCTCTTTGCTTTTTGTAAACTGCCTTCGAGTCAGCCTCGACTTATGGCAACCCTATAAATGAGAGACCTCCAAGACACTTTATCCTCTATAGCAATGTTCAATTCTTGTAAACTTAGGGCTGTGGCTTCCTTGATTGAGTCTATCTATTTGGAATATGGTCTTCCTTTTTTCCTACTGCCTTCTACCTTATCAAGCATTATTATCTTTTCTAGTGAGTCATGTCTTCTCATGATATGGCCAAAGTAAAAAGTTTCAGTTTAGTCATCTTGGCTTGTAGAGAGAGTTCAGACTTGATTTGTTTTTCTAACAATCTACAGCATCCGTAGAATTCTTCTCCAGTACTACATTTCAAATGAGTTGATTTTCTTCTTGTCAGGTTCCCCGCCACCCAATTCTCACATCCATGCAGTGATGGGAAATACAATGTCATGGACAGTTCTAACTTTAGTATTCAACTTTGCATTTCAAAATCTTGTCTAGTTGTTACTTAGTTGCTCTTCTCTTTAGCTCTGCCTAAGCATTTTCTCTCTATGCATTTTTAAAAGGAGAGGAAAATATTTGTTTGTTACATGCCCCAAAGTTTACCCTCTACTTATCCACAGGTCAAAACACAATCCATAATTTTTTGCCCCAATAGTTGCCCTCGAGTTATATATGACGTCAATTTAAGCATGAGTATATATGGTACTTGGGACACCTCCCCCCACCACACGCATTGCTTAGAATTTTTTTTTTTTATTGTCTTAGATAAGTTCATACTGACAGTTTTTCTGAGCATAGACTTCTTGTGGGCTAATAGTCAGAAGTAACTCAAGTTTTGGCTGGTTAGTGCATTCGCACATTTATTCCAGTGGTACCTAATAGCTTGATCAGTGTTTTCATTTTACAAACTCTAAGGAGAGTACCAGTGAATTCTATTCCTAGATGCCAGTTTACAGTCATTTTCCTGGTGCAAACAGAGAGAAACAAACAGATCAAGTTGTTTAAAAATGAAATGCTGGGGTAAACATAGGAAGGAATTCACTATAAGAAGGAATGATAACTTGGATGTTGTGATTAAAACTGTTGTATGCAACAACATCTGTGACCTGTAATCGTACATTCATTTGAGGGATTATGCCATTTTGAATGAACTAAGATTTCCTTCTGAGTAAACATGCACTGGATGGTCTGATTTCATTTCTAAACTGCAAATGTATATTGTTCTTGTGATCCTTTAGTTCACTTATCCTTCCAATGCAATATAAATGCTCATCCAATTTAAATAATGCATTTGAAATATGTAAAGCCAGTCTGATAAAGACATCTGAGGATTTTTGCTTTCAGAATAAACCAGAATAAGTGAAAACTTGCAGGTATAATGGATATGTTTAATCCACACATTGGTCTACAAAGGTAGCTGTCTGTCAGCATCAAGTTGAAAGTTCAAGTGCCATGAACCTTATCACTGGATTTCTAAGCTTACCATTAAAAGGAAATACTCTTCTGCCCTCTTATTGGACAGCAGCTAATTTTACCAAGCTCTGTTTTCCATTATCTAACCTGCTTTTTTACCAGAAAAATACTTTTGGAGGGACTTTCTGGTGGTTTGTCCCACCAAATACCTTATTATTTATTTAAGGATACTGCAGAAAGCTAGCTCAAAGAATTATGGATATTGTTTTGTTTGAGATGGAAAAACTGTCTTGCAAGATTACAGAAGGATTGTTCTATACTGAGAAAATCGCCCCCAAATAGGTGACAGTGTTTTGTACTCTGGGCACGAGGTTAGTATGCAAAATGTTAAACTGTTAATATTGCATAGAATGTCATGTTAATCTGCCATAAAGGATAAACTAGATATTCACTGAATTGAAGCATCTGTTTCTAACAGTTGACTTTGTTAACAGGTGATGCTACATGCACTGCCAGTGATGGATCGTTACTGCAGAACAATTATGATACAATAGAAGGTGGTGGTTTCCTGGGTAAGAAATTATTTCCTCACTTTTTCATTATTTTACACTCACTTATTGGTGGCTTCTGTAAAATGCATTTGCCATAGCTTAAACATAAAATTAATAGGGAGGTTGTTTCAGACATCCACTGCACGTGTGCCTGTTTAACACAAATGACCTTTAGGTTTAAAAAAATGTGCAAAAACACTGAATTTGGGGAGTTCATTTTCCAGCTAAAAATGAACATAACATGTAGTTGATAAATTGTACAAAAACTACACACTTTATAGGCTGTACACTGACTCTTAAATATTGACGGATCATTAGCAATATTACCAAAAATAACAGGCAAGTATTGGACTTATTTTATTAGGAGATGAGCAGCACGGTTGTATCTTGACTATATTTTTCCACAAAATAAAATTATAGTCAAGCTTTCCAATGTTACTTAAAACATTGTAAGCAGTCACATTTCAGGAAAGGTTTGAGTTGCTGACAACAGCATAGTGATTTCAGTTTTGAGAATGCCAACCAATTACAGCAGGCCCTCTGTATCCATGGGCTTGCCATCTGCTGATTCAATCATCCACGGATGACAAGCCCCGTTGCTTTCAATGGGGGCGCATTCACACACCCACATTAGTGGCCATGCACATGTCGTGCCTGTCATTGAATTCAGTGGGACTCAAGGACCTGCATTTTTCTTTATCTGCTGGGGTTGGGGGGAGTCTGGATTGAATCCCCCGTGGATATGAAGGACGGGTTATGTAGACAATTTGTTCTTTTAACTCTGTTTCTCTTAAAAATCT